TTAATAATCTAAATGACAATAAACCAGTTGATAAGGTTGTTAGTCAGTTTGAAGATATTTTATTTGCTGAATCTGATTTTGGACTTTTTCAAAAGCTAGTAAAAGCAGAAGGTGAGATAAATAAATTAGAAGATAAAGCAAAAGAAATAGATAAAGAAATTGAAGAATTAAGCAAGAAATATAATCAAAAATTATTAGATGAACAAACTGCCTTAGAAACTAACATTGCTACTTTGGTTACTGCTTTAAAAAATGATCTTCAAACTGGTCATGGTCGTAATTTTTTTGATTTAATAATTAAATATAATGAACTTTCTTCAAAAGAAAAAAATACATCTACTGCACCACCTTCCACTGAACCTGGATTTGAGAGTTATGGTTCAGTGATCAAAACTGGTTATGAAGGGTGTGGTAGACCTTTAACTCATCCAATTTATTTGCGCACTGATTTACCAGCTCAAATTTGAAAAATTCTTGGAAATATAGATAAAGATAAATTTTTTGAATATATTGATTCTGCGGATTGTTCTTGAAATGCTAAGGATAAGGAAAAGTTTAAAAGAACATTTTCTCGAGTTGTAAATTTGAAATTTAAACTTTGAAACTTTGGTGAAAGAAATGTAATGATTCGTTCAAGTTATAGGGAAAGTTTAGTACATGGAAAAAGGGAAACTAACTGATATTTGAGTGATATCTTTTATATAATGCATGCTCTCTTTCCCAAAGATAACAATTATAAAGATAGCCCTTTCTTAAGAAAAGGTGAAAAGAGTTGTTTACCATTTAAAGATATGGACAAGAGTATTGATACTCCTTATGCTATTTGATGACGAGGAGCAGATGCAAGTATTATTGGAGTAAATTATTCACTTACTAGTCTCAGTATTTTGAGAGCTCCTTTTCCAGGTGAAGAAAAACACTTAACTTGGGCCAATGGTCAAATTCCTGAATTCTTTTGACAAGTTTATAATAATGATGAAGCTATTGATTTTAGTACTTATGATGAAATATTAGGCCCTGATGCAGTTTCTATGGAAAAAGTTCATGAAGAACCAATAACTGTTTATGAGAAGAAAATTCGCATTGGAGCTGGTTTACCTATAAGTCTTAGAAATTTAACTAGTAATTATAAAAAATATGTTGAAAATTTACTCAAAAATATCAAAGATTCCAGTGGTAATCCTTTAATTGATGTTGGTATACTTCGCAGTGAGTGAGAAGGTATTGCTGAAAAAATGATGAGAAATTTTTCAAGAGAAGTTGATGCAACTTTCTCGCAAAGAACAAAAAAAGTTTCTTATTCTGAAATAAAAAAACAGATTTCTATTTTTACTGAACCTAGTGTTAAGTTAATAAAGGATTATTCAGGAAATGAAGTTGACTCAGTGACTGATGACAGTGTGATCAATAAATGAGATCAATGAAATCTTAAAACTAAAGCTAAAAGAAAGGTTTTAGAAGATGAAGAGAAAAATTTAGGTAAAAAACTTGTTGAACGAAATAAAATTGATTCTGAATTAGCAAAAGCTAATGGTGAAAAAGAAGTAGCACAGAAAACGATTAAAGCAGCCAAAAAAGAAAAGATAAAAGGTTTAAAAGATATCTTTAATGCCATTAATGCTAAAGCCAAAAAGAGTTGAAAAGAAAGAATGTTTTTAAGAAGTGTTTTAGGTTTAGTGGAAGAATGACAAAATAAGTATCCAAAACTATATCCAGTTGACTCTGCCTTTGATGTGACTAACTTAAGAAAAACTATGGATGATGAAGACAAAGCAGCATTAGGCATCCTTGCTCCTTACAGTATTTGAGAAGGTATGGGTAATGATTTTGCTGAAAGATTAAAAGCTTGAGAGAATAGTGATGGTTTATGACTTAGTGAAGAGGTTAAAGAAATCGTCTTAGAGAGATAAAAAAGGCTTTGGAATCAGTGGGACAGGGATTAGATCCAGTGGAACAAAATGAATTAGAAGCAATTACTGATTATCTGAACAATGTTCCAATACCAACTGATAAAAGGATTACTACTAGTGATCTTAGATTTGCTCTAAAAACAGGAACTAATATTTTTAGTGACACTACTAAAAAGTGAATAAATTATAAGAGTTCCATTAATTTTAAAGGAGATGCTAAGGAAATTGAAAAATAGCTGATAAAATTAATGGAACTAATGCTAAAATTAAGAAACCTGTTTTTGTCAATTATTTAAAAGAAACTCTTTCCAAAAAACCTGGTATGGTTGATATTCCTCAGCAAGGTGATGGTGAACAAGCTTGATTAGACTGATTCTTTACGTGAGATCCAGAAATAGTAATTGGAACCATTGCTTGTCAAGAATTAAAAGCAGATAGTAAGCTTAAAGAACAAATCCTGAAAGAGATGAAAGATTATAAAGATAGTAAAGATAATTTAATCTTGTTAAATCGAACCATTTATGGAAACGGAGAAGAATTTACTGAAGAGGGAATTATTAAGTTCTATACTGAAAAGTTAGGAGGTCAAAATCATGCTCTGAAGAAGTATGAAAAGCCCTTTAAAGATCAACCTCAACAACAAGAAGGGTTCTGAAGATGAAGTAATCCCGGAGCCATCTTATCTGGAATTGGATTATTGGTCTTCGGAATTGGAATTATTTGAGCTATTCATAAACGAAAAACTATCCTCCAATGATGAAATGCTCCTTCTGAATTAGAAGA